ATGTAGTCATTAATCCATGCGCTGCTGACCACTTCGAGTGGTACGGCTCTTATTTCGAAAGTAACGCAAGGTACAAACCTTTTTCAATATTTTTTATTATTTTAAAATATTAGAGAAGTAATTCACTTTTGTATTTTCATCGAAAAATTTATTGAATAGCCACTGTGTATCAATATGCAATATGCAAGTGGACAGTGACTCAGATTATTTTGGGAACAGGGAGGGGTTCACTTCTGCATTGGGCCAGAATGCACCTATCACTAAAAAATCCGAGTTCTATCGTAAAGTGACTTTCTGACAAAAATCTCTGACAAGAAAGGAGCTGGGAATGGCTAATTTTACCATTTATTTCCTTATTTGAACTGAATCAGTTCATTCTATAATGGCAGTTCTCTAAAGTGACTAAAACATTCATTTGAAAGAATATATAAAAAATGCAGATGCAAAAAGCTAAAATTTAAAGTGTAGACAAATGAACAAATGAAAAAGAAGCTTAAACTCTTCAAATTAAAATAATCCATGAATAATTAAAAATTCACCAGGAATCGCAAACGGCAGTATAATAATTAACTGAACAATTATTATTATTTGTTTTATAAAATGATTTGCACAAGACGGTCGATTATTAAGTATAATCATAATTATATCGGATAGGATGATAAATGCTGAAAATTACACTGAGAAATTTCAAGCAAAACTGACTCTCTGGCTTCTTTCCCAGAATGCCAAAATCTCTTCCTTTATCTTTTCCTTTTAATTTGGCTGATCAAAATCAAATATTGTGCTCTTTCTCTTTCTAGTAGCCCGCGTCACTGTTAGTTTCTCTGGTTCTACTAGCGACTAGGATGAAGCAAGAATGGTCAAAAGCAGCTTCCTAACTTCTTCCATCTCATTGGCTAAGAAGGCATCGCAAGTAGTACTCTATGTACGATACTTAGATGGATAGAACTTTTTTAATGAAGCTGATTTTACGACGATTTTGAAAGATTCTTCAAAAGAAGAAGGCATTACTGACTATAGCCATCCAAGCTGGAATTTTATCCATCGCCTAGTTAATAGTATTCGAGATGTTTAAAGTTGGACATTTCTCAACCGTTTTGCATGAATTTATGATCTAATCAATGTCAACCGTTTTATAAGAAGAAAAAAAATGTATCAAACGCATTTGGAGATCAGTTTTCACCATAGCTGTCGATATACGGTTTAGCGTTGCAAATTTGCGTAATTATCAGCGAACGACAACATTATGAACGTATTCAAAGTTCGTGACTGTATGTTCTGGATTGATTTATACATTCGTACACCATATCTACCGCAGTCGGAATTAGTGTAGTGGGGAGAACATTAGTATTTCAAAATATTATTGCGATTCTTGACATTTGCACTGAAATACGCCCACAAAATGCTAAGATTTATTGACTCCTCCTGAACACTTCGTATTATATGATTTGTCAGAGCGCCTTAAAGGAATCAAAAATAACGACAAAGTTGATAAAGCACGCAATGGTTGTTGATATTTGAGACGATGCTCCAGTATCTCTCTCTTTAAAAAATGGTTATATCCTGGCTTAAATTCGGTTTGATTGGAACTCTCTGCCGTCCTGCTGTTACGCACTGCCACGCGTTCAACAGAAGAGAGGTAAAAATAAAATATTCATAGAAATAATTGATTCTTTGACAGCATGCGTTTTGTCACCTTTCATGGGAACTGATCTATTCCAGTAGTCGCATGGCATTTGCTTTCTTCTACATCAGTGAATGTAATATTTGCAAGGTGCGTTATAAAGGACGTTGTGCAGCGCACAGCACTTGAAGAACATTTGAAAAGCAGTTCGCAGACCATTTTTTTCTGAGTGAATCTTAAGCTTGTAAAATTTGTAAATTATTTATTTATATTATTTCGTGCTGGGATGGTCATTTGTAGTTGCGATCGTACGGCTATAAATGTGTCATATTCGGGGATGTTGGTTAAGATTCAAAGAATTCTCTTCTTTAAGAATCTTTAATAGTTTAACGAGAATTTTTGTTGCAGGTTTCTTTATCTCGGATCATTTCATTGGCCATTTTTCGAGCTCATTGCTTTGTAGCATAGGCAAAATAGTTTTCAATTACCACTCATTCTAGCGCTGTCTCTCCATATTTAGAGCCATATCATTCTGGTATCCTTATCCAGATTTTTGTTAGCCTACGGAGTTCAATGACTAAATCTCCTGATATTCTGGCTGATTTGAAACTGAATTATCTGGGGCCCAGCTTACCTTCTTCCTAGTGAATCTTATAGTGAGTTCAGCTAACTCTTCGAGGCATGATTTCAGTTAGGGTAAGTACTTCTTGCAGTTCCAGAGATGCTGTCTTTTAGACACTCAGGTAGAAATATTTAACCTGAAACTTGAGTCAAAAGATTTTGAAGAACGCTATGCTATCCACGTTGTCAATTTTATTATTGGCTCTAACTATAACATTGTCCAACCCGTGGATGTTGCCATCTCTGGTAGTGCAATACGTACGACTATCTAATATATATGGTTAACTGAAATAAGTTATTCAAATATTAACTGAATGGCGACTTCTATATAACTAAATATCTTCTGCAATGCTGAAAGCAAAAAGTTCAGTTACAAAGTGTATTAGTGGCAAAAAGTCTATGCTGCTCAGCAAAAAGGAGAAGGCAGTCTCCGCAAACTTATGCAATTCTACGCGTGCATTCCGATTTCTCGCCATCATGACTGCGTCATTTTTTGGGAGAAATGCTGTTAGCAAGCTAAGCTCTGCCAATCTTTATCTAGATTATCCGTGCACAGTGTAGAAGCACAGATAACGATCAACGAGATACTGAAAAATTGTCCATAACTGTGGTGCAAATCAACCAATTATTAAAGGGCTCCACACGATAAGACTTGATGTCTCGTTTAGGACATTGCCATCGCGATTCCATTTCTTGAATATGAGAAACATTACTATGATACCAGTCATTAACTCTCATTTGAACCAGGTATTGCTCTGAACCCAGAAATAGGGAGACGGATTTCCGACAATCAAGCGATATCCACGATAAGCTATGGATGATTATTTCCTGGATCCCTGAATCCATTCTGACGTTAAGCCTAAAGGCCTCACATAGAGTGGCTTACTTTGTATCTTAACGTCGATAAAGCCGTCCCGACAGCTCGAGAATTTGTATGGTCGTTTTTAAGACAATGTGTCCGAACAGTATATTCATATATTTCGCACATGCTTTCGTTTTCCTAACGTTTTAAATATTAGAAAGATTAAACAATCTTACCAGTAAATATAAGAAACAAAACACTATATATATATATATATATATATATAAATGGATGGTTCCTTCCATAAATCTTTACTACATAAAGATATGTGGACAGAACCAATCGAAGCAGTTTAGCATACATATAAATAAATAATAAATGTAAATAAATAAGTTAACGCAAACTGGTTCAATGTACCACTCTTTTGTATGCAAGTTTAGATCTCAGCAAACACCGGTATTTTTTGCTACCCTCTATCTCCTTGGTCTCTCGTAGAAAAACCAACAAAGAACAAATTCAACAAGCTACAAGGAGTAAACATATATATATATATGCAATTAAAAAGATCTCATTTGTAGTTAACAATTTTCTGTGCAAACTTCAAGTCATCACCATCTCCAGTTTGCCTAGCTTCATATGCGAGTATACTTGGGCACAAAAATACGGTCCCTAACGCCCGCGGGACTTTTATGCAAATTTAAATATTACCAACAAAAACAAGCGAGGATTTCGCGAGAGAGATCAAAATAATTAAAAAACGGACCATTCATCGCAATTTCTTTAACGAAAATGAATTTATGAATAGTATTGATTCTCTTAAAATTGACTATTTTGCATTGCAAATTGAAATTCAATTTTTCTGCTTTGTAAGTTTGGTATATAAAATTTAAACATTCTAAACAATTGCCAGAATCAATAAATACCTCTGCGTCAGATTTAACCACTTTGGATTAAAAAAATAATTTTAGTACTACTTGGCAAATTAAGCACAAAGTGATGAAAAGATCTCAGAAGAATGGAATTTTTAGTCCGACGCATATGATTAGCAAAAAGCCCTAAAGAATTCTCTTCAAACTTGACATAGCACTCTGATTTTTCCTCAAAACCTGTTGTATTTTAAACCTTTAACCCTAATACTCGCGCTTCTGCTTTATCTCTATAATGTGAATAATACTTTTAGTATGTTGCAAGAGGACCGTTGAGTGAAAAACTGTTTCTGTGCATGTAACTAGATTTTACGAAAGGATTTTAAGATGAATTTGAAGGGCACAACGAGATTCGAGAAAAAAGAAAGAAGGGTAGTTTTCAGACTACTGGACTCTACTAAAATTGCTAAATTATGATTGTAGCATTAAGTAGGACGATATTAAAAATATTTTTTGAAAACCTTAGGACCGCCTTTTTTCAGAGGAACTCATCGAAAAATTTTGTCAAAAATAAAAATAACATTAGAACTGAATACGGACTAAAGAGAACTGAATAGTAATTTTAAGACAATGTATCAGAATGATAATAATGATATCACATTAACTATTCATTTATGACTGTTTATAAATTATAAATGTTTATAAATTATTTTTTTCGATTTTGGATTTTGGTTGATTAAGTTGTGAATATATTTATGATTTCATATAAAATATGAAATGACACTTGCATAATTTGAAATTGATATATTTCATAATTTAGATATCGTACTATTACTTTTTTCATTATTGCATTATTATTGGTATTGACTGGTATATTTTATCAATTCCAAAGGCAACTATCTGAGAAAATATTCGGCATAAATATATCGACTCTCTATTTTAAAATAGCCCTTTATAGGCACCAAAGTAAGATATGAAAAATACCTTCAATACTTCAACAATGAAAAATTTGTCTCTCATTTTTCATTCGAGTACAAATGTTTTGAGATTAACCAGTAATCTTTTCAAGAATTCGATAATCAGTATTTTATCGTCGATCCCTTTCTCGATCACGTCGATCTTCAAGCAATAGCATTGTTTTAATAATTTATCACTTTTACAATGATTATTGAAAATGAAGAAATACGATCGCAAAAGAACCAACTTTCAAAGGATGACAGAACAAATAAACTGTCAGAAATGAAGATGAAATGAATCTTTGGTATAGCCAGTATCTTACCTCGTTCTCTGTAATCTGGTGAGCGATGACGCCTATCTTTGTCCTTTCGTTCCCTGTCACGTTCAGTATCACGATCCCTTTCTCTATCACGTTCACGTTCCCGCTCACGGTCACGATCTCTTCCACGCTCTTCCTTTTCTCTATCTCGACTACGGTCGCGGTCCTTCCCTCTACGTCTTACTACCAACTTAAAATAATTGAGCTATTTGTAATAAATTGTTAACAAATTAAACATTAAACTTTCCTTAAAAGTATTTCCCATAACAATTTCAAAATGTTATAAATTATAAAAGTTGGAAAATTCAGCATGATACTTTTTGTCGTTCTTTTCTGCGAACAACTCGATCCTCCTCTTCAGATTCCGAAGAAGACAATTTATCGAGATCTTCATCGAGAGCACTAACGTATGACTGTAGTTCGCCTATTTCTTCTAAAGTCATTCGTTTCTAAATTGAAATTAATTATGAAAAAAAGCAACTTCGGACAATAGATTGGATTATCTTTAAAAAATTGAAGCTACGAGAAATTTTCTTGAAAAAATGGCCAGAAAACAAACTTGAAGCCTAGGTAAGTGCACATCGCAATATCGTTCTTCTCTTAGTAAACTGTCAATAAATTCATCCATATGGATGATTTCAAAACCTTAAAGAATATTAAAATTAGGAACTCAATAAATAAATCACCGGTAACGCCATGATTTCGAAAAAAGCGTGTATGAATACAATGTATATAAAAACATTGTATACCCACCTTAGTTTTTTGCTAAATATAATAAAACAATAGAAACAAATAGGCAAAAAGCATCAAGCATAAAAAATTTACTTACGTCCATCCTTATTCATTACCCGCAATTTTCGGTAATCATTGTAAAGTGGTTCCAAATATTTATAAACTTCAATTGAACTGAAGGTTATTCGAAGATAAATTGCACCTAATGCTCGAATATACCTAAAGTTCAAGAAGCACTGATAAATAGAAATATTGTAAGACAAAAACTTGTTTCTCGGTTAAAAATATGTTTTTAACCACATATAATTATAATTTATACTTATATTCTTCTTGTCTGATAAATTCAACAATGATATCTTTTTCTGGTTGAATCTGCAACATTTTAAGAACCAAACATAAAAATGGCGTTGGTTTCACGTTACCGGCATATATTCCACCAACAAATCGAATTTCCATTCCTTTATCAACCAGAAGTTCACCTTAATATAAAAATTTCTTTTAATAGGAACAAACTAGACAAAAGAAAAAATATATAGAAAAGAATCGCAAAATTCACAAGTAAATTTGATTCATAATGCATAATTTTTTTCGATTTAAAAAAAAAAAAAAAGTAGCTTCGGTTCCCGATAATGGCAGCGATGCACCAGTACTTTTACCACCAAGATATACAAAGTAGTATAATTATTAAATAGTTCAGTAATAGTTCACTATTATATATTATAAAGACTAATACATTTCGCGCCTATTATCATACTTGATGTTATGGTTTATTTCTTTTCATCATTACCATTAAAAACTACAAAAGGAAATCATTATGAAGATATATGGTAAAATTATCAAAATTATTGACATACCTCGCAAGCTTTCTAAAAATTTTGTTTACTGAATAACTTGAATTGAAAAATTTGTAAAGCAACTAAGTTAACAAATAACAAATAAAGCAGAAAAAAAAACAACAATAACCATCAGTGACTTAATTTTGCACCACCAGCACCTAGCTTTAAAAATAAATTTAATGAAGTTATGGATATTATTTCGATATTATGGTTATTTCTTAAAACATGTCTCCAACCCATTTTAACTAGCACAATAAATTCAATTAATGTTTGATATTCACATAAACAAATAGCCATCTATCCTGCTTTATATTCTTCTTTAAATAAATATAAATATAATAAATATAACCAGTAAGTGCAAAACATTCTTCCTTCCAATATTTCGAATCATAAATTCGTGTTCGAATAATTTTTTCAATAAGATATTGAGGATTTGTACCTTTCACTGTTACCGCATCTTTAACTGTACGATTCGCCATAATCTAAAATTGAAAACCAGAAATTAAAAAATATTTGGAGCCATATGAGAAATTTTCATTTGTTTCGATCAAAATTTTGGTCTTCAATTTCGATCAAATTGCAACAAGAAGCCGAAAGGTTATGCGAGAAAATTGTAATTATAATTCCTTAAGAGATGTTGCAAATTTCAATGTAGTTCAAAGATAGTCAAACTACCATCCAAACTCAACATTGAATAATATAAGATGAATGATTAGGAAGAATGAAGGCAGAATTACTTATCTTGCTCTTATTTGTTGCCTAAGGACTTCGAATTTTCGATGTGATATTAGATATATAAATAATATTAAGTCACGACGTTTATAACTGGATTTGCCTGAAATTAGGACAAGACAATTTTGTCAAGTCATTTGTAATAGAAGTGCCAGTATCAATTAAAATCTTTGTTACGATGAACTACGATGGTAAGCATTAATGGAACTCGACATTTCATATGTTGCAAAAATTTTTTTCGATGATGACTTGTTTTGCTTTTTTGTTGAAAATCCACAATGCCAGAGTGTATTCGTTCAAGCACAAATGATCTTACCAGTCCCACCCATATGAAAAGAAATTACATATTACATGAGCGCTGAAAATTTGGCTGCCTCAGGCGTCTGTTTAGCACCAGTTATCAGTGGCTAGCGATTAATTGACTCATTGAATCAGCAGTTAAGACATTCTCTCACTCAGGATGGCGTAGAAATGATTGAAGTTTATTTCATAATTAACCTATAGCGTAGAACTGATTGAAGTTTATTTCATAATTAACCTATAATAAGTAATTTAATGATCGCTGGGATATTATATGTGATTTCTTTTACCATAATTCAAAAATTTGTTAAAAAATCTATCGATTGAGCTGTCGGATCTACTAACTGCTCTGCGTTAAGATAAATGAAAATATTGAAATGCTGATAAATATTAATAATAAATATTGATAAATATTAATATTATTTACATAATATTCCCCGAAAATTCTAAAAGTATTTTAAGTCCTTTTTTTCGTTTTTTTATTTTCCCTTTAATTCAATTTTCTATTCTATTTTACTCTTTTGACCTTACTCTTTGTCATCAACAGGAGAAAACCTGTTATGATATCAAAAATACGGGTAGTTGCTGGATACCGAATGAATGTATCCACATCCACTCAAATATTACCTCCATTAACAATAGCATCATAGAGCGACATCTTCGCCAGTTATGGCACTAGTTCGCTGGTTCTTCGTCGCCCACCATGAGAGTTGATATATATTTCGTTACTTGCTGAACCCTGTGATGGATGGTGTCAAAAGCGATGAGATCCAATCAAGATCAGGACTGATATAATCAGGAAACGTATAGATAGATCAACAATATAAGGACTTAGACGATGGAAAAAGGAACGATTTCTATTACTATCAGCGATAGCGTCAGATCGAGCAGCTTGGAAACGTTGTAACCAGCCTAACTAGTAATGGTAAGAGTTATTAGAAGAAGAATTTAAAAAATTTGCGCCAGGGATTTTCCTTGTATCTCTGCTCACCCGTTAAAGATTCATTGAAAATATCACATTCGTTTGGTTTTAAAAAATACTAAGAACGACTACAGTATGGAATTTTAACGGTTTTCGTAGAAATAAAACTGTGGCCTTCGGATAAAATAGGAGCATTCGTAAATGAATTATAAAGCCAAATGAAAGTGGGATATTCGATTCAGTTGACAGATGCTCGACATCCAGCACTAGTTGAGCTATAGCATAGCTCAAAAATACCTGGAAATATCTGTGACAAGTGTGCTCAATTTGCCAGCAAGAGACACATGTCCAAGTTTCAAATCATAGAGCACCTCTTGCGTCAAAAAATGTTTCTTCCCAAATTTAAAATAAATAAAATTTCATAATTTACTTATTTTGTTCTTAATAAAATTTTTGCGCTTCGGCTTCAGATTTTTCTAATTTTCACGCCCTTGGTACACCATAAAATATCTTGTAAGTAATTACAAGATATATAGAGGCAATATATAATGACACGGGAATTATCTACAGAATTTCAGCGAATGAATAAGTTTTTGCTTAGCTTATAATAATAATGTCTTCCAACACTAATATTCGATTTACGCGATATGCACGATGAACGAGGACTGATTCACGGCAAGAGGTTTTGAAGACGTTCATGCGACGCAAGAAAACTGCCTGCTGGACTATTCTCCCACAGCTTTTATATAATTTCCTGCAGAGATGCGCTATGTAGGCGATTTTTCGTTGTTCAATTTCCACATAGGAAATAAGGTATTAAAAAGGGAAATGAAGATTTGCGACCATACAAAACGAAGATTACTAATCTCCGAAAAAACTTCGAACGTCGAGCAATCAACCAGCAATGTTTCCAAAATTTCTGTTTCCATTTTTAATCAACTTTCAAAATTTTTTATTTATCAAAATTTTCATTAAAAAAATTACTGCCAATAGAATTAGTGGTCAAAAGCAATTCGATGCACCGATACTATATAAAAATTACGAAAAACTTAAAAAAACACGCAAAACACGGCGCATAAAAGTAATAACGTAAAATATTAAATAATTTTTTAAATAAAAATGAAATTTAAAAATACTTCATATAAAAAATAGTACTCCGCGGCCGATTGATAGTAAAAAACTGAATATGAAGCCGATTGATAGTGTTGGGATATCACGGCAGCTGCGAATTGTTTAACTTGATAACTATCGGCTTAAAAAGCTTATTGTGGGATGTTCGTTGCGGTCGGAGAGTTACTTTTCCACCTTTCAGTATTGTGGAATTTGTTCTGCTAAGTGCTTTTTCTGCGCTAATTTTGAAAAAAAGAAAAATTAATAATGAACGGATGAAAAAATTATGCTTAGAAGAGCTTTTTCTTCATTATTCATCAACTTTTTTGATTATTTTTTGGATGATTTCAGAAAAAAATGTAAGTTTTCGAAAGCAATTTCAGTCGGAAGACAGTCTTAGAATCTTAGATATATTTCTGGTAAAGTGAATTGGAGAAATTCTTTAAGAGTCCTCGCCATTACCGGTTAAACTCGCTCCGCTGGCTTGTCGCATTGGGCAGAGATGCCAGAGGGTCTCCAACGGCGATAGAGATGCAGGTGAGTCACGCGGGTTTTTGGGGCTTGCTCCTGCGGGAGTCGAACCTCAGTATCGGCGCTCGGAACTTATCAACAACCCACTGAGCCATTCTATTCTCGTTGGAGAAGTATTCCTACTGTAAACGGCGTTTGTGGCCAGCTGAGATAGACTAAGCTAGAATCATTGCATTTCACCTTTAGTGCCGCCTTCGAAGCGAAGCGCGGGCTGATGGTTTCATGGTTGGTTGCACTTTGATGAAATTCCTGCTAGCCGACAAGTCCAGTAACCATGTAAGTAACCATGTATCAAGTCAGTAACCATGCATTTTCATTTTCATATTCATTTGTTCTTTAGTGGAATTTTTTTGAAAATACTCATTATTTTTGGTTAGATTCGTTCAAATGACTTCTCGGGCGAGACCAGTTTTGTTAAGAAATTACTTGGCGAGAGAATTGTTTGCGAAATCGCTTATAAATTGCTTATTACTTTCATTTTCTTAATTTTTTAAAGGGTCCGAACCTGGCTTAAAAGAAATGTAATTTCGTAATTTTTAATTCGCTCAATAATAATTTTCAGGACAGAAAGTAGTCAATTGAATCTCATCGGAGATACGAAGTTAGTGATAGAAGAAATATCCTTTGCAGTGAAAGAAATATCTATATCCAACAAGTTACCTCAAGCTCCAGATCTTGTTTTTGTCAATATAACTCTTCTTGAAGGTCAATTCTCAATCTATTCTCAAAATTTAATTGGTATTTTTATTCATTCTCATACCCCTAAATTTCTCGGAATTGTACAGTATTTGTCATTTATTATATGGGTTTCCAGCCAGGTTCATTTCCTGTTGAAGGCAGCATCTGAATCTTGAGGCTGAATAATCTAAACAACAAGCATTCGACTATTCTACCATACAAACCGCATAATTTATAATTGATAAGACATCTAAAAAACAAATTTCAGCAGTTAACAATTGTTTATTATTACAAGTCTTCTTATATAGTATCAAACAAGAGATTTGATTTTTTTAGTCTTTATTGCACCAATTTTTCAAATATTAACAGGAACGAAATATTGCGTGGAGATCACTCACCGTGGATGGCGTGTAACATCAAATGAGTATGATAATATGCATGGTGATTTCGAACAGTTGCAGCTGCACATCCGGTATTATGAATCTATTTATGAATTATTAAGTGCTTTATCTCCCGAATATCGAAAAAAATTTTCGGATTGCCTAGTAGAGAAACTTATGGAAGTAAAGACACAACAGTTGGTTGAAAATAAAAAAAATAAATAATTTTGTGGATTTTATAATTTTATTATGAAGTTTTTGTTGTAATAAATGGTTTACGGGTTATTTTCATTTTTTTTCAAAGTTTTTTTACATAATCATTTCAAATAATTTTTTTTTGATTTAAAAGGTTTATTTTCAATCATATCTCTTCTTCTTTACTAGCACATAGGTCGAGAAGTAATGTTTTTGACTCTCATTTTAGAAATAGAGATCAAGAATATCAGAAAATATGAGAAAAACAAGAAAATTGGTAATTTAGATTTTAAAGGTGATTCGATTATTTAACTTTGTTAAAATTATCTACTCTATTCATTTCCTTTTATTTTTTTCTTTCTTGTTTTCTTTTTAATGATTATTGAATAAATTGAAGCTATCCCTCTACGAAATTTTGGCTTTATTCTTTTTATCGTTCATATGAAAAATTTCATGCAAAATTTGTGCGAAGATATTAAGATATCAAAGAAAAGAATAGTTTGTTCCAAAATAAGCGGTAAATTCAAAATACATCTGATAAAAATATAAATTTTCATATAAATAATATAAATTCTATATTATTTATATGAAAATGTGAAAATTAATAAGTGAAAAACAAAAAAAGTAAAATGCGTTTCATAATGCAGGTCAGTGGTTAATTAACGATAGTTTATTTAAGCAACCAAGGAGGGTGGCAAGCGCCATGTGCTTATATTGATAAAAACGAAATATCAAATGAAAAGGAATTAATAATTGCGACACAAGTGAATGCAAGAAAAACTAACGATGTAATGAGAAATGAAACAAATAAAGGTTATAAATCGGATGATAAAAGACTAAAACTGTAAAATTTGAATATCAATGATATTATTTAATCTTTTTTAAAACTAGATAGGAATTACGTCGTTTGATAACATTTTTTTCCAGTATTCCACTAGTTAATGGTGCGAATAAAAAAGTGCTTAATTTAATATTGCACTTAGGTTTTAACAATTTTAATCCATTAGTTTTTGTTGAAATTTAAGTTAAAATTATTATATTTTGAACAATCTACTTTAACATAACCCATATAGAATTTTATAGTGTAAATTAAATCTTGTTTAATTCGACGAATTGAGAGTAAGTCGACGTTGTATAGGTGAAGATGTATGTCATATAGCTATGACTGGTACTGGAAGAGAAGCGGCGTATTTTTGGAGTTCTTCAGTTTATTTAGGGCAATGACAGGTTGTATCATAATCAAGAAGAGGCAGAACGAACGCTTTGTTGATAAGAAAACTTGGATTTCTATTTTAAAACGAGTGAAAATAAAATTTAGTATCCTTGAGGATTTCTTTACTATGGTTCTGCACTGGAGGTCGAAATCAAGATTTTCATCGGCGATTAAGCTAAGAGCTCTATCACAAATAGCGAATAAAAAAATATGGAAAAAAAAAATCCTCAAATAATTGTTGTGAATCAGCTTTCCAATTTGAAATTACTAACTTGGTTTAGCAAGATTACATTCTCTTTTTTTGTATATCTAAAAAGCAAATTAAGCTTTCGAAATCTTTTAGCTTGTAACGGATCTGTATATATCAGATAACTATAGTTTTTGTGCACATATTTGTAAAATATTCATTGGATGCCATTCCCACTAAAATGTTTTTTTAATCAAACACTATATATGCGTGTAAAATAGATCTCACTTTGAAGTTGTTTTAAAATAACGAGTAATTTTAATCAAATTTAAGTCAGTTGTTTTCAATCTTTTTTGCACATGTCTATCCTTACAGATTTGTTCACTTTCGCACCCCCCCCCCCCAACCCTCCACCCGCCCATTGTCTCCATTCAGAAAGTTCCATCTTTTTAAAATGGATTGAGAGAAATTTAATAGCAATAGAAATTCTTTAAGATAAAGCATATAAAAAAGTTTTTTGTGAATCAACAATTCCATATCTCTAGAATGCTTTCTTCTTGAAGGGTCACCGTTACTAATAAGTCTGTTTCGCTGGCTCCCTAAGTTGAACGAACATTCCAAATAGTGGATTGATTATCGATAGTGGTAGATGTGAATCGTCAGCATCACTCGAATTTTTCCAACAATTTTCAATTTTTCAATTTAGTTTTTTTTGAGAAAAATTGCTTAATTCAAAAAAAAGCTATAAAAATTAATTACTATAAATAAAAATACTGTGAAAATGAAAATGCGGTGAGCATAAAATATTTCACAAACTGCATATTAAGTTTGGAAAAAAATTTCGTATTAAATTTGCTAGAAGCAAATTTAATTTTGAAATGCAGAATATTATTTTTAACGAAGTTTTTAGTTAATACCGTACGGTGTGTTTGGCTGAAAATTCGTGAAGTACAAGCAAATCTCATCTTTTCTCTTTTTTTTTCCTTTTTTCCCCACTTATTCCCCGTTTTTATGGGATTTTCAATTACGATTTTCAAGCATTAAGTTCTTGGAAAAGAAATTAAATTTTTATACTCTAATTTGTAACTTAACATGACACTCTTATAATCCAACCACCCTCTGCTGGCCTCCGCGGTCCTTCATCTTCCTTTTCCGCAGCTCTCCAGAAATGTTTCGTTCTCCGTGGCTTTCACTGAGTACCACTGCTATAACTGAAATTTAATAGCAAGCAGTAAATGTGGGCCACAATGGGCTGTGTTTTGGCCACGGCCGCGTTCGCCTTCTCCTTACCTTTTTCTCGTTTTTATCAGTCATAAAATCCTTCAACCATCGGTATGGAATAATTGGTTGGCCATTTAAATCGTGGAATAACTAATATTCATGAAAATATTTGCATATTTATAAATATTTGCATAAATATTCGGGAAATTGGATTTCTTCGACTTATAAATTTATTTATTTCGAAATATGTCCTCAACTATTTCATTTATCGGTTTGTAGTGCATTTTGCTTTAAATGAATTGTTTTCGGATTTTAAATTATTCGATTGTTTGCCGCACGCGGAAGTCTCTTTAGCGGGTGGCGCACAACTGGCATTTTGGTTTTTGCACCAGCGACGAGGATAAAACGCCTCCAAGCCTCTCGATTTGATGCCCTTCACGAAGGCAGTCGTTTCTCAGCAGTGGACCGCCTTTGCGTCGAAGGCGTGCCGTCGGCACCATCGATTTCGACTGGCGCCTTTTAATGACGTCCATCACGGGCAGCGAGAAATTCCTGTGGTGGGCAACGAAGAACTTGGTTGGACTAGCGTGACGACGTTCTTACGCAGTAGCGAGGTGCACATATCCGAGAGAGGTGGGTGGTCTTGTGGGACTCCATCCATTCGGCGGACACCGTAGACAGGGATAGTTACTGCATAATTTTCCGATATCTTCCTCTCTCTTTGGCCAGTTTTCGTAGTGCACTCTGCCTATTACAGCTTGATAGGTGCGAAGTTTTGTTTTCGCGACAGCAACAGCAAAGTTGATGAAGCATGTGGGTTGGTTGTCGACATTTGAAAGGTTGTTCCAGTCCTTTTTTAGGGTAAAATTTAGTCAACACAGACCTAATCTAAGGTGCGCTTTGATGTCGCAAACTGCCTTGTGTTTATTCAGCGGAAGAGAGGCAAAAGATTCCCAGAAACATCTATCAAGTTGATTTCTTAATAATTGTTGCAGGGGGTTCACCTTTCTTGCGTATTCCAGTCATATGAGATTTGCTGTCTCTCCCACACCAGTGTATATAATTTGTGGAGGTATATTAAAAGAGACACTGGGTAACATTTGAAGAGTTTAGCTCATTCATTCATTTTCCCTGGTGATTTTATTGGTTATAAACTTGTGAATAACAGAAATTACTTCGTGAAGGGTTGGTGATTTAAAATTGCACACGCATGGCTTTAAAAGCAAATGACCTTTGATGGACTTTAATTGATAACAGGGTTCCATCCTGATCTCATAATATTTCACTTTTCTCGAACTCCTAGCGAAATAGGCGAATTAAATTGGTAATCACATATTCGAGTTGTCTCCATATTCATTGCCATATCGCTGCAGTATCGATTTTTATCACATTTCGCCGCTATCGCTGCAGAACTGCTCCTGGAGACAGAACTTCAACTGGAACCAAGTCATTGACCGGCTATTCCAAAGATAAAAACATGGTTTCAGTTCATCAGTTCGAAATATGTCTGACTTGAAATAATTAAGATTTTTGGGAACGCTGTGTCCTCCGCGTTATAAATTTCATTGGAATGTTGATTCTAGCCACAACATGGTTCGTTAGCTATATGCGCGGATGTCCTAGCACT